TTAGGTGAAGTTTCAACATGTACCTCTCTTTGCTTAGGTGAAGTTTCAACATTTTCCTCTTCTTTTGTAGGTGAAGTTTCTACATTTTGCTTAGGTATAATTGTAATATTTTTCATTTTACCCTCATGTGATTTGTCCTTCTTACTCAAAATCCAAATTAACAAACTGACACACAAAAGCAAAACAATAATCGAAGCGAACAGAAGTTTGAAAATCCATTCGTATTTCTTAGTTCTCTGGGGTGGTGGACCACTATCAACACTACCTCCAGAGCCTAGCTTCAGGCACATGGGTGGAGCCCAACCATAGTTGCAGTGGCAGTGATGTTTATTGTTGCAAATACCTCTCATATTGCAAGTGGTAGTCAAACAAGATTCTTCCCCCACTGGAATAGGGACACACTTCCTCTGCAAGCACATAAGACCTATGCCACACTCTGTCCCATCTTTTACTTCACCAATATCAGGTATGGTCATACCAAAGTGGTAGTCAGTACCCCAGCAAGTTTTATTATTGACGTAAGTGGAAAGCACAGTAGTATGTTCTCTCAAAAGGGGAATTTGTGTTATATTCTCACATTGAACTCTACCACAGAGAACATCTGCATGCCGACATCTTACATATTTAGTGTCTATGATACCACAGTGACCAAAACGGTCACCCTTGGTGTTCCTTGCCAAGTAGCAACTCAGATTTGCACTCTTGGCTCCTTCGCCAAAAATTTTCTTACACTGCTCATCATGCTTATTACATCTCTTCTCATAACAGAAGCCCTTGCCCAGGCAAGAGCTCCCATCTTCCACGTACATATCTTCTGGACATCTACTAGACATTCCATTGCACCACTCTGGCAGATCACATTCACTCTCTGGTTCTCTACATACTGTGCCTGATGGCAGTAACTGGCATTTTTTGCAACAAAGTCCAGAAGCACAAACAGCCCCAGGTTTCAGAGTGCAGTTTTGCAAACAACATGGATCTTTTGCACACAACTTTAAGGTGCCACAATCACACAGCTCTTCATCTTCAACCACACCATTCCCGCAGCGCTTGCTTGTGATGATGTGCTCTGATTTGGGGGAATTGTTCAAACAGGTCCTTTTGAAACTGGTTTCAAAAAACATTTCATAACTACAGTTGCTGAATGCCTCTGAAGGTACTATATTTTTATTCATTATGCAGATGTTTCTCCCACATGTACAATTTTTACCATCATCATTACTCATTCCCAATGTATGACCAAGCTCATGTGTCACACTTGATCTAAACCAAATAATTTCATCATCCATCATGCATTCCAATCCACAGTTGTAATGTGAACTACATATTCCTCCAAGATATGTCATACAAAGCATTGTGTTACAAAAATTTTGTCTTACGATAATATGTGCTGCATCGTGAGACACACGAGAATTGAAGCTGGTTTTTTTCCACTCACAAAATCTTTTCACCATCTGAGTGGTGGTAGTTTCTATAAAGGGGTTTCTTTTGTTCCAAATCTCAATTGCAATTAGTACCACATCAAGATTAATGGAGTTATAAAGATCATCTACTAAACTGATACCCATGATTACATCCATTTCCACGATGGAGATATTACTTCCCCGAAAAATAAAGCGTCCGTGATCTACCACAATTGCCAGTTCAAGAAACCTTTGATGAAGCCACCATCCCATGTAAGAACTTTGCATCAAAATAGAATTATCATTCTCTTGAAACTTCAGTGACCATGCTATTTCATCTTCTGTTAATCCACATCTAATTGGTGGTGATTGTGTCTCCTTACTGTCCATCTTGTATACCAGGTGTTCAAATGTCTCAGAAAGCCCTTTGGGCTTGATTTCATAAACAACACCATTTATCCGTAGCATTCCTTGAAAGCCCTCCAAACAAGTGCTAACAGTAACCAGGGATTCTGGGTCTCCTTCCACGTAACCATGGTAATAGCAGTCATTCTGGACAAATGGGTAGTCCTCAAGAAGAGAACCCTGGTCAGTGTAGGTGAACACAGGTAGATTCATGGACATAAAAGACTTCTTGGTCTTCATGTGGACAATATGTCTTTTGCCCCCAAAGTGCAAGCTATAGGAAAGCCAGCCTGAGGCCCTCATGTCTCTACTAGTGTCAGTGATCCTCAAGGGGATCACCAATTCTGGGGCACTCTGGGATTGGGTACACCCAATTTGGGGCAGAGCAGAATACAACAGAGATACACCCATCCAGAGAGGCAGCACAGTAATCCTCATATGTAGCAGGGCCTGCATCATAGCTATTATGAAGAAGAGGGTGAGAGCAAAGGAAGAAATGCTTGTCTGTATCCTCTTTTTTGAGCTGCTTATAGAAAGCAGTGATATTTATTGGTCTGTCTTCTGTGAATTCAATCCAGAAGAGCAGCAACTAAAAATAAGAACAAAAAGAAAGGCAGAGACAGGGAGTTTGGTGAGAGAAGGTCAGTGTAGAAAAGAAAGAACAGATTCTGGTTTAAAATGGATTAGGTTTTTGCAAGGCATGACTCAACTAAGTGAACTACATTGCTCTTTGTTATAGTTTAAAAAGAGTCAGAGTATCATATGCAAACATATGCAATTGGTAATATAGGTTGATAATTATTGGACCTAAATTAAGAGTACATGGATTCATTATACTTTGGTCCAAATGTATCTATATGTGTGAACATTTCCACATTGAATATTTAAAAAGAGAGTGTCTTAATGTAAAGGTAAACATATATATTGATTTACAAACAATGACTTGGAAAAATATCAATAATTTTTCCTTTTTATTTCAAATGATAAATTATTTCATCACATTAATCACAAAAATTATAACAACTGCTCACTAAATTATTTGTTCTCATGGGCCTTTTATGTCATTAATGTGAGAAATCTGCTTGTGCTATCATCATCTAAACATGTCAAAAGGGAAGGAATAAAAGAATCACTAACACTTCAAAAATATTTGTATATTCTGTAATTAATGTCTTAGTTTACTTAAACTAAAATTAATAGATAAATTGCAGTGGGAGTAGTTGATATTAATAAATGCTATTCCAAAGATGGTTATATTTAATTCTACTCTAGAGAAAAAACAATAGCATTTTGAAAGAAACCACAAATGGAAAGTAACAGCTGATGATGGGAGAATACTGAAGGGAAAACAAAATATCTTCAAAAATACAAGGAAATTCAATGAATCCCAATTATATGATAAAAAGTTTGGTAAAATTAATATTGTTGTCCTATTTCAAAAGCATGAATATCCCTCACATTTTTTATTCATTTATTCATATGTGCATACATTGTTTGGGCCATTTCTACTCCTGCCCCTGCCCCCTTCCTCTCTTCCCCACACCCCCCTCGTTTCCAGGCAGAACCTGTTCTGCCCTTTTCTCCAATTTTGTTGAAGACAAAAGCCATAATAAGAAAGACACAGCATTTTTGCAAGTTGAGATAAGGACACCTATACAAAGAGATTCCTAGCATTGCTTCCACACACAAATGTGTTACAATCCAAATTGATTCATCTCTACCTGACCTTTTCACTAGTTCCCAAAAACCTTCCCATATTGACCTCTGTCACTTTAAGGTTTCTGTATTAGCTCCTCTGCAGTGGGGACATCAAACACTTTCATGTTTTAAGTTTCCTTTCTATCCCCATACCTCCCTCATGTGCTCTCCCCTTAAGGTGTGACCCAAGTCCAACCACATCGCTGTATTTGCCCTAGATCTAAAGTCTACATATGAGGGAGAACATACTATTTTTGGTCTTCTGAGCCTGGCTAACCTTGCTCGGAATGATGTTCTCTAGCTCCATCCATTTACTTTCGAGTGATAAGATTTCATTCTTCTTCATGGCTGAATAAAATTCCATTGTGTATAAATACCACATTCTCTTAAACCATTTGTCAGAAGTGGGGCATCTTGGTTGTTTCTATAATTTGGCTATTGTGAATAGTGCTGCAATAAAAATGGGTGTGCAGTTGCCTCTAGAGTAACCTGAGTCGCATTCCTTTGGGTATATCCCTAGGAGTGGGATTGCTTGATCATATGACAGATCTATGTTTAGATTTTTAAGAAGCCTCCATATTTTTTTCCAGAGTGGTTGCACCAGCTTGCATTCCCACTAGCAGTGTATGAGGGTTCCTTTTCCCCCACATCCTCACCAACACCTGTTGGTGGTGGTGTTTTGATGATGGCTATTCTAACAGGGGTGAGGTGGAATCTTAGTGTGGTTTTGATTTGCATTCCTTTATGGCTAGAGATGTCCCTCACATTTTAGAATTATATTCTAACTCCTGAGGGCAACATTCAAAAATATTTATGTCATAAATAAAAATAGCTACTCAAAAAAGCATATGTACATAGGCCATACACAAGTATAAACACCACAAACTTCAGTACTAACAATGTGAAAATGAAAAATCTCCTACTGGCAAGTGGCACTTGTTGCTTTGTCCTTGAGTAAAACATTGATAAAACACAACATGAAGACACTATGCTGCCCATTGGGAAAGCATATGTGAATGGTGCAGAACTAAATAATTTTATCCTTTAGAGGATAAAATTAGGCAGAGTGTTTGAAGAAAGAATAGACTTTATGGTCCGTAAAAATGTATCCAATACTTTATATAAAATTCTTGCCACTTTATGAGATTTGGGGGCAAGATAGGTAATTAGAAAATTCTCTATTTGGCTCCATGAATGAAGAGTCAGAGTAACAAAACAGATACCCTCTTCTGAAGAGAAAAGAGGGCAAGTGGATTGGTGATTATGGTGTTGGCAAGACAACTGAAAAACATGGACAAACAGAAAGGTGACAGAGAAAAGCAAAAAATAGTCACAAGTTTCATCCCAGGCTCCTAGTAGAGAGGGTGGGTGAGGGGAAGCCAAAGATGCAATCACAGGGTAAACCAGATGACCCTGGTGATAAACTGTCAATTCTAGCTAAAGAAATAGCTTACAACTCCCACCAGCTTTAAACCCAGTGTAGGGATTTGGTGAGACACTGACTGCCCCAGTGTGGAAGGTTAGCTGCAATGAAGAAAGATATTCTGCCACTCCCCTTATCTCAGAAAACTATATCAAGCTACCATTTTAGAGAAGGCCTATTGTTTAAGACTAACCTACTCTTGAGGCTTAAAAACAAGGAAAAATTGAGACTAAGGGGCCTTGCCACAGTGGTCAGGTATGAGATGGCAATGAGATATGTAGAGGAGGAAAGTGTCTGACATGGATCCACAGAAAAGTTCAAGCAGTAGGGCACCCCACAATGAAGCATGCAGAGGTCAGAGGCCCTGCCCTCCACAGTTAGTTGAAAATCCCATCCCCTTTAGGGTCATTTTTGAAAACAGCACTGAGCCGGTGGCTAGAACAGTAATCTGTCTCCAATCCTACCACCTAGATATGTGTGTTGGCTGGTAGGTGGGTATGATAGTTCCAAGCTCCAACCCTATATTTCGTGTGATTTCCATGACTTCTTTTCTGTGTAGGGAGGTGAAATACTGGGCATGTTACAAATACACTGAAACCTGTCTCCAGGAACTGCATCCTGGCACATGTCTACTGCCAGATGGGTCTGAGAGCCCCAAAACAAGGTCCTCTGAATCACATGATTTCCACGGTCTCCCCCCATTATCGGAAGGTGAGTTGCTGGGTAGGGTCTGAAAATCCAGAGTCCAGAAGGCAAAATGCCTTTATTTTTCAGTTCTTGTCCTCCCAGTGCAGAGCTTAATACTCTGTTTGCTCCTCCTACTGTCCAAGTCATATGTGGGACAACTCTAGGCTCAGACATTTGTGCCCTTTGTGGAACAAGTGGGAACCTTCCCAGCCCACAGTCTGTAAAGCTCCTGTGGCTAGCAATGGCTACTAATATAGAAACAAGTGAAGTGTCTATAGTGAAAGCAGTCTAGAACCTAGTTTTTAAATTTATTTCTTGGTGGTACTTGAGTTTTAATTCTGGAGTCTTTGCTAGGGAATCACTCTACCACTTTCAACATGACTGCAACCTTTTTTTCTTTAAATAGTTTTCAGATAGGGTTTCATACTTTTTGTTGGGCCAGCCAGTCCTGTAATCCTTCTACCTACCTCTTCTGCTTAGTTGACATCACAGAGGTGTGCCAACATGCTTCACTTGCTTGTTGAGATGATGTCTTGCTAATTTTTTGCCCAGGCAGGCAAACTGTGATCCTCCAGGTCACCACCTCCCAGGGGGTGGGATTACAGGCATGTTCCACAAGTATGGCTGGACTTTCAATCATTCTATAAGAGAATCTATTTTTTTCTCAATCTGAGCAGTGCTGGGGATAAGGCTCAGTGCCCTAAGCACCAGGACTAATGCCTGGCTTCTGAGTCTTATGCCCAGACCAGTGGTGAAAAACCACATCTCAACCTGGCTACCTCATTATCCTGTTTGAATATTGATAATACTTCAACTGAAAGAATACAGGTGACTAAATCTTCCAAACAATCCCTTGGTCTCAGATGTGCACACCCCAATGTAAAGATACAAGACAGACAAATAAAACAATGCAACACAACATGACTCCAAAACTCAGAAACAACTCAGTAATAAACACCAGCAATAGTGAAGTGAATGAAATCTCAGACCAAAAATTCAAAAAGCTGATTATAAGAATGACCAATGAAATGAATAAACACCTGAGTGAATTGCAAGAGAACTCAATAAAAGATCTAAATAAAATAAAGAAGACAATGTAAGATGTAACAGAGGAATGCAATGGAGATATAAAAATTCTGATAGGAATCAAATTGAAGACAGACTACCAGGGTTTAAGACAAGGTAGATATATTAGAACATTCAGAAAACATAAAAAAACAAAAGTACTAATAGAACATGTAATACCTCTGGTGCACTACAAATCATGGGCATAGAAAAAACAGAAGATGTGCAAGCTAAAAACATATTCAGTACAGTAATAACAGAAAACCAATGAAATCTTGAGAATGTGATGGCCATCAGGTACAGAAGACTGTTAGGACATGTAACAGAACAAGCCAGAAAAGAACCTTACCAAGGCATGTAATAGAAC